GAGAAGGGGTTGCAGGGTGTTGTGAGTCTGGTCACTATGATATCTTCCTTTTTATTCTTGTCTTTATTTTTCTCTTCTCTTTTTCTTTTCCTTTCCTTTTCTTTTCCTCTTCTTTTTCTTTCTCTCCCTCTCCCCTCTTTCTTTTCTCTTATTACCCAGCCCGGTACGACGGCTTGGTCAGCCCGGTAAAAACCGTCAGGGGAGGGGCAGTTTTTCCCCCTGCCCCACCCCCGCGCCTGTTACGACACTGGCTAACACGCCAATCATCCCCCCCAATGAAAAATATTTTTCTACGCCACTGCTCGGTAGTAAATATGATTGCATGGACCTTCGAACTCTTCGTTACAATTTTAATAACATTAATCATGATGATGAAAGTGCACAAGTTGCACTCGATTAAGTATTCACGAAATAGACATATTATATTGATAACTTAGAAGAAATCAATATCTTATATTGATATCTTGTAAGAAATTCATCTTGTTATCGCATATCATTAGTTGTTTTTTATTTCCCTGCCTGAATGCTGTAACCATCATGGCTGTAACTCCTTTGTTGACAACCACTGATGCATATCAACAGTACTATGCATATTATATGACTCTGCTATAATAGTAGAGTCATTTTCATGAGATCCGTGACTAATTTTAGGATACCTTTTTTTCTCGATGGATTTGGCAAGATGGACAAATTTAGATAAAATATAGCTCCTATATACCTCCCAGATATGTGTGGGGGGGGGGGGGAGTCCCGTTTGGAGGCGTTTTTTCAAAATGGCCGCCTGTGGATTTGGACGCCTGTACCTCGATAACCACTGGTCAGAGAGACTTTATTTTGGTCTCAAACTGTTCACAATATGCATTTTCCTCTTTGTTGTAATCATAGAGCTATTAAACAACTAGAGTGCTGACAAGATGGCGAAGCAATGCAGAGTTGTGTATGTGTACCATCCAAGATGGTCGCCGTAGGAAAGCGCCACCTTCAGGCTTACTATCATATTATTACCATAAATAAGCCCTCTGACTGACTATTATTTCATTAATGATAATTAGATTGATAATAACAAAATATTAAACTGTCGTAGCCAAAAAGAGGCCAAGTAGAGCATGTTATTCAAAAATTTAAAAAAAATTGTGTACATTACACCCATACACCGCAACGCTCGAGTTTCAAACATACGGGTAACTAGCTATACTGAACTTTCCGTGCAAATTGAGGGCGCCATTGAAAGTGATAGTGCTTATGCGAAATTTTATTGGCTGAATCTATGGCAGCCATCTTGGATGGTACACACACAGAGCACTGCGTATTTCAAACATCGAATACATTGCAGTTAGCGCTCTAGTATTCTTATTAAATCTCTATGGTTGTAATAACCTTTTTATCAAAAAATGGCGGGAAATGCGACTTTTTGAAAGTGTGACCTTTGACCTTGTATTGTCAAATCTCGGTCACAGAGACTCACAATTGATCGCAAATTGTTCAGGAGATTTATGTTTATATTCGTCCTTATGAAAAAAATATTCAAATAGGGACCGGAAATGGTACATTCCGACCTTTGACCTATTGTAGGGTCATTCCATGTCAAATCAACCAGATTAAAAAAAAAATTCCTCTATGACCGTCTCAGATTTTGATGAAACATTTTGAAAAATGATCCACTATATGAAAAAACCAAAAAATAAAAAATTAGCCTTATAGGATATATAGTTTCTTTCCGAGGTATTGAGTCCTCAAAAAAGGGGGCGTGGTTCTTCAAGATTTACAAACGCAATTTACTTCAACTTTGGAAGCTTATAACTCGGGATTGGTAATAGCTATCAAAGTCAAACATGGTAATTTAACTTTATCTGCACTCAAAGTAGCCACTTTGTTTAACGATCAATTTTTTTTTTGTGATTTTCGAGGTCACCCTGAGTCCATATGAGTGGGTATATACCCCTCATATTACAGATGTATTATATATGTGTGGTTGTCTCTAGCCACATGCGAGCGCAGACTGATCAAATCAATTGAAATTAAATGGCATATATTCAAAGTTGGGACCAGATCTATAAAAGAGAAAAACGCCTATGTTTCTTAAAAACGGATCGTCATGTGGACAGTTAAAATCTTTTCTTAAATGTATCCCAGTTAATCAGATATATTAGATCTACCTATAAACCAAATTTCAGCTTTAGTACTCAGCTCCTTCATGGTTAGATAGTAGGCCTATGTTGAAAACTACACATATTTTAACACAATCGGAAATCACGAAAGTTTTTAAGGGTTGAGTCATTTCATGCTACCTCAAAAAATACATTACACCATGGGTCATAATTTTTTTTTCACACTGACTCAGTGATATAGATATCTATGTGAACTGAAAACCTGAAATTTTGAGACTCGCTAATTCATTTGTTTTCCTGTAGCGGCAGTTTAAGGTTGAGGGGGTGGCCTCTCAACAAATGCATTAAAACATTGAAGGTCATAGATTTTTTTCACCCTTCGGCCTTGTGAATAGAAAAACTTGAAGTTTTGAGACTCAAATTCCGTTTTCCCGTAGCGGCATTTCAACATAAAGGGGTGTCCCTCAAAACTTTGATTTTCATATGCTAATATCATCATACAACTCCTAACCTTCAGTGCTGTAGGACACCTATTTACTGCTGATTCCACCTCCTGTGCCATCGTCATTCTCTTACTCACCATCGCCATAAATCTTGAGAATGCAGGAAAGTGCATATCCCGCCTAGAACACACCCATTTGTTGACAATGCTCATGAACTAGATCAGTAGCGGATTCAAGTGGAAGCCTCCGCCCCCTTCCCACCCCATTTTTTAATTATATAAAAGTAGTAGTAAAAAAGTACCGGTAGTAGTGCCACAGAGTGGCACCAACGGGGAGGCACAAATCATCGGGGAGAAAAAAATATATATTTTTTCTTAAATCGATTAATGAAGCCTTTGAAACGTCCAAATTGTCATATTTTCAGGGGCCCCTGGGAAACTTTCGAGAGGTTTTGAGCGACCACCACCCCACTCTTTCGTTGGGACATCGCCCCCCCCCCCCCGTTGGGCAAATCCTGGTGTCCTCCATTAGACAATCATCTAACTTCCATTTACCACTACCTCGCACTAAACTCAGACAAACTTTAATCTTCTGTCACGGTCCTATATTCTGGAACTCACTTCCTATTACCATAACTAATTCTCATAATCTTTAAAAAAATTGAAAACTCGCTTAAAACAACATTTGCTTAATATCAATCAATAGTTTTATACTTTGTCTTTTCTCACGATCTTAAACACTGTCACATCTTTGTCAAAATTCACAAAGAACCATCAGGGCAAAATACCAGGATAACCCATAAAGCTGAAGAACAGCTTAATTCCAATGGGGTCCTACAAACAAGCAATGTTTAAACTCATTTAATTTGTTAATACACTTGATATTAGATGGTAGATCATTCCAGTCTTTGAATAGTATTAAAATAGTACGGTATTGCTGTTGTTCAGCAATCTTTGTAAAATTATCTGCTAAATAAGGAGTATCCACATCATTGAAAATTTTAAAAGCATGGACCAGCCTAAGAAATTTAACCCTATCGCATATATTAAGAAATCTAAGTAAGGAAAGTTCTTTCAGCCCGATGTGTGCTCTTGGGGCAAGGTCCAAAATAAACCTTATGATCTTATTTATGATCTGAAAATAATGAACTCCGTTTTTTTGTGGATGCAGATAACTTATTCTCGACCAACCAGTTGTTGCACAGTTCCATATTTTACCCTAGTTTATTGGAAATATATAATGGGTCTCGATTAGACTTGCCACAAAAGTCTCATATTTTCGCGCCGCACCTTTAGGCTGTAACGATGAAGAGGATAGTCATTAAGAAAATGTAGGTAGCGGTAGCTTTTACTACGAAGAAATGGGAATTCCGAACTAAGCATGCGCAGTAACCAAATAACGTCCGTGAATTATTTTAAAAAACCACAATGAGCATGCGCTTGAAAGTAAGTGACGTTATCAAGTCATGTCGAGCATGCGCAGTTGCCAAAAAGATGTCTCAGTAACCAAAATCTGCTGTTAAGACGTCTTAAGAACCAAATAGCGGCTGCGAAGAGGGAATGATTACCAAGAAATCGTCCTAGGAACCAGCGGCTGCTAAGAGGGTATGATTGAAACGGGAGAGAACTCGAGCGGGTCGGAAGCCTCTATTTTGGCTATCTTTACAGTTCATCAGTGTTTGTCAGTGGGAATTGTAATTAAATTATCGCAAAAAAAATTATATTAGGCTCTATCGTCGTACCTACGTACGTAGACCTATGCATTGATAATCCAATAAAAAAAATAACCACAGAAACTGATGACACAACCCAGAGGTGACGAAACTAGGGGGCGCTGTGTTATGGAGAGTAATGTGTGACCGGAAATGGTCTGCATCAGTTGGTTGTTACCATGCGCCAGTGATGTTGGAGTATATAGTATAGCAAGATGAAACTATTATGAATAAAGTTCGGAATTTGTCGAGTAGTAAAATGATTATTGTACATTTTAAGCGCTATCTAAATTCATAA